GGCCCCCCGTTCCCCGCCCCCCCCCGTTCCTGCCTCCATTGGGCAGGGGGGGGGGGGGGGTTCCCTCTCCGCACAGCCCTTGTTTTTCTTTAATTAAACATCTGGCTCTCTGTGGCCTGGGAAGCCTCAGACCCTCGCTGACAGCCCCCCCCCACCTTTGGCATTGATGATGGGTTGAGGGGGGAGAGCTGGGGCTCTGGGGCCCACCTGTCCCCACACTAGTGCAGGGGATTGGGGGCTCCAAGAATGTCCTGACCACACTGTCTTCACCCCCAGTGCCGCCGAGGGAGCCTGTGCTCAGTTGCCGCTCCAACACTTACCCCAAGGGCTTCTACTGCAGCTGGCATCTGCCCACCCCTACCTACATCCCCAACACCTTCAATGTGACCGTGCTGTGAGTAGCTGCGCCTATGACCCGGTTCTAGCCCTGACATCTAACTTCTCCCCCAGTCCCTTATCATGTCCTCAGTCTAGCCCTCAGCCCAGCCTTGGGCTTGACCTTCCCCCAACTTTTGCCTCACCTGACCCTTTTTGTTGGTAACAATACCTGAGTCTCACCCCTCCCCAGGCACGGCTCCAAAATTATGGTCTGTGAGAAGGACCCGGCCCTCAAGAACCGCTGCCACATCCGCTACATGCACCTGTTCTCCACCATCAAGTACAAGGTCTCTATAAGTGTCAGCAATGCCCTGGGCCACAATGCCACAGCTATCACCTTCGACGAGTTCACCATTGGTGCGTGTGTCAGTGGGGGGGTTCCCCACTGCATACTCCAGTGGGAGTGTGTTAGTGATGTGTGTGTGAGAGGTGTACATGAGTGTTGGTGGGGGTGTTCACATGCATATGCTTATATACCTGGTACATACATGCCTGTGCACAGGTATATGTGGCATGAATGTACATGTGCACATACATGCATGACATATAGACGCCTGTGAACATGCAAGTGAATGTTCTTTACCTACAGGGCCACAAGATCTCTCCAGCAGCTCTTCCCATCATCTCTGGCTCCCAGAGCATGCAGCAGGGGGAAGGGGGGGCAGGCGGGGCCAGACCCTTGTGCAGCTGCAGCCTCCACCCCCCACCCCCCCCACGCTAATGGCTTCCTTACGGCCTGTGATGAATGAGGTGTCAGAACAGGAGACGGGGCTGGGACAGATACCGCCCTCCCCTCGAACCCCCATCCCAGCCAGACCCTCTGCTGGTCCCTGCCCCATCCAGCCAGACCTTCTGACTTCCTCTACTTCGTCTCAGGCAGACCCTCTGCCTGCCCCTGTCTTCCCCCGACACCCCATGGCTGGATTTCCAGCCGGGCTATTTTCACATAAGATGGACACTTAGACACTCCCATCAGATCTCCAGCCTACCTCCAACCCAGATCTGCAATATCTGTGGACTGTCTTTTAACCTTGAACCACAGATCAGCTTCGAACCCATAATCTTCCAAGGGAGGCCATGTCTCAGTTTGGAACTGGAAACATTGAGGTGAAAAAACAGGCTTGGGGGAGTGTGTGATGCTAGTGCAGGAGCATGTAATCCAGGTGACAATGGGGTGATCAGTGGTAATTGTGGAGGCTTCATATAGGCTTAGTTATTGGGATGCTGGTCACTTTGAGGATTGTGTTGTGATGATGGAATGAAATTTGGGATATTGATATCAAGAGCTGGTGACATTGACTGTAGTGTGACAGTCATTGGGGATGATGGGGATGTCAGGGGTGGAAGTAATGAGATGGTATTAATGGTGGTTGCCAGAACTGACAACAGAAAAGAGGTATGGCAACCATGACAATGATGACAATGGTTGACAATATGAGAAGGTCAACTTGGTGGCTGGGCTGACAAAGTGGGGTTGTTCCCAGAGATTAGTGTAGTAATGAAGCTATGTCTCCCGAACAGTGAAACCTGACCCTCCAGAAAATGTGGTGGCCCGGCCAGTGCCCAGCAACCCTCGTCGGCTGGAGGTGACGTGGCAGACCCCCTCGACATGGCCTGACCCTGAATCCTTTCCTCTCAAGTTCTTTCTGCGCTACCGACCCCTCATCCTGGACCAGTGGCAACATGTGAGTGCCCTGCCCTGCCCAGATCCTGGGTGCTTAAATCAGAGCCACATGGCATGAGTGGCACCCATATCCCAGGTGGTAGCAGCTCCAGTGTGGGACTTGATGGCAATCAGAGAGGCATTCCAGGGCAAGAAGGGACCAGGTGGACCTGGGAGAGTGCACAGAGCTGAGGAAGGTGTCCTTAGGGATTTCCAGGGACCTCCCCTTAGTGCAGTGAGAAGACATCTGTCTCTGTGGCTCCCCAGTGTAGTGGAGAGAACTGCTGGAAGGGAGATGGCAGGCAGGGTGGCAGTGTTTCCCTTCCCATACCTCTAACTCTCAGCCCTGACCAGACATCTCCCTCTTTACACTCTGGCCCTGGCTCTGGCCTGTGCTGAACCCAAGGGGCAGGACAGTCCCTGTCCTCACGAGCTCATAGATGGGCTCAAAGGGTCAGGATCAGGCAGTGGGGTCAAGCTTGGTCCAGAGTGTGAGTTTAGGCTATGACTAGCATCAGGGCCCTGAAGTCAGACCTAGCTTAGGGGTCAGCTTAAGGTTATGGGTCAGAAGGTTGCCTGGGCTGGGAACCATGAAGTGGACAAGGGTTAGCATGGGGTTAGGTTGTGGTTTGGATGTTGATCAAGCCATGATAGCTCTGGATAGCAGCCAGGGGTTTGGGACAGACTTGGGGTTCTCTCACATTGAGAGCCTGGGCCCATAGAGCTAAAGGCAGTCTGTGTGGCCTTTGAGTCTGTGGGCTAGGACTGGGGCTGGGAGGGCACTCCATGGAGCAACCCAGGCTGTCTCCCGGAGGTCAACCTGAACCTGTACTCCCACAGCATCCACCAGGCTCCAGCTCCATTTCCTCATGCTCCCCTCCCGGCTGGCCTTTAAAGTGTGTAATTCGATTCTTGGGTGCCTGTCCAGTTGTGGGCCTGGCCCCCACCAAGGCTGCTCACATACTCACATGTTCCCTGACAGAGTCCGGAGTCCCTCCTGCCTGGCCAGCTGCCTGAGCCTAATGCATTGCTAATAACCAGGGTCTAGTTTCACAAGCCCCCCTCCCCTGCTAACGAGCTACAGGCAGCAGCTCCACGCGTTGCGGCGCACACGCCTTGCAGTGGACCTGGCACAACGCCCACCACACACACAGGAACGTGCACACGCACACGTGGCTCCCAGCAGGAACCATGCTCCATACATGCGTGTGACCACATGCCAAGACCATGTACTGGCCTGCACCATGGGCAGAACTGACTCCCACACTGATGTGGGCAGAGTGAAGTGTGCAGGCTCCCTGGCAGGAACACACTTGGCCTGTGGCACATACTAGCCCTGTCCATATCTCATTGGCATTGGAGATGGCTAGATTTATGGCTCTTTTCAATTTTCAACTTGAATTTTGTTCTGAACAGAATCTACTCCCTACCATCCTTGATCTTGGAGAGAGGCAGATGGATGATTGGGAGGCAATGTGGAGGGGAGAACAGAGAGAAGCATCACTTGGATTTTCAGGAGGAAAATACAGGCCAGGAATTGCCTACCATCCTTGATCTTGGAGAGAGGCAGATGGATGATTGGGAGGCAATGTGGAGGGGAGAGCAGAGAGAAGCATCACTTGGATTTTCAGGAGGAAAATACAGGCCAGGAATTACAAAAGAATGGGTACTGGAGGTCTGGCAGGGGCTGTCTCAGCATGGACAAGGGGGAGGCAAGTACTGGGACCCAGCATGAGTTCCCTGCATCACCTGCTCTGGTCCTAACTCAGCATGGAGGCCTGGAAGCTGTGGCTGACATCTGCTATAGCTGACTGGATGGAGGACTCTGAGGCGAGGTGGAAGCCAGAGACTAGGGAGTTCCTGCCATTTGAGGAGCCCTTTTCTTAAAGGAGCGGATTAAGGGATCAGTGACAACCTAGCAAGGAGAGTCTGAGCTAGGGAATGTGGCCACCGGGAGAGCATTGGGCTCCTGGGAACATTCCTAGAGTTATGGTGCCCACATGAGCCCACCAATGAGGTGGCAATTTGATCTGTTCCCCATGGTTCCCTCCCCTTGGAGAAAGACAGATGTGGAGGCCTGTGGGCCAAATCATGGAAGAAGGGAGAAGCCAAAGGAGCTGGGGCTACTCAGCCAGAGGGCATCTTTGCAGAGCACAGGGGGACTGGGGGGCCAGAGGAGGAACTGGGGCCCCAGCTCCAGGAGCGGAGGGTCTTTGGGGCCTACCCATCTCCCAGAGCTAGGAATATGATTTACCAAACCCAGGGTCTGGGCCCAAAACATCTTTCACCATGTCCCTGACCTTTACCAGTGCCTCTCACATCAGGGCCACAGACTCAGCAGGAATTGGAGGGGCTTCCTGCTCCACTTGGACCCAACTGCACATGCACGAATATGCATGCACACATGTGTGCGTGTATTCACAGCCTGTCAGATCAGGTAGCCCAGACCCCAGTTTTCTGGGGAGGAAGACTGAAACAGGGACCAAAAAAGCCCTGAAGCCAGACATGGCCCAGAGCAGCCCCCTCCTTCGCCCCTGCCGGCTGCCCCTGTTTACGAGGCGGCTTAATGAGGCGGCGGGTGCCGCTGAGATGAACCAGAGCCCAGCTTGGGCCTGGGAGGGGTGCCGGACAGGCAGGCCGGCCTGGAGGGTGGGGGGGAGATCTGCAGGATGGGGCCAGCTGGGGTGGGAGTTGGGTGGCGATACCTCCAGGAGGAAATGGAGCAGCTGTCCTGTGTCCTGCCACCCCAGCCTCAGGCAGGGTGATAACTAGACTGGGGCCAGGCTGGTGGGTGTGTTGGGTATCTGGGAACCCACACTCTCAGCCAGAACCCAGGATAATGACAGTGCTAGGTGAAGTCTGTTTGCCGCTTTCCAAATGCCTTAGTCCTCATTACAGCCCTAAGAGATATATGCTATGGTTGATCATTTTACAGATGAGAAGGGCATGGCACATGGAAGTTAAGTAACTTGCTCAGCTAGCTAGTGATGAGCCAAGATTTGAACTTGGGCAGCCGAGCTCCAGTGTCTGTAACCTTATCTCTAAGCTGCTTCCCGATGGGAGTGGAGGGCAGCACACCACTGTCCCCTCTAACCACACTGCTCTTGTCATCTTCAGGCTGGGGCTCAGGTCAGGACTCAGGCCGGGGGGGTTGTGAGAGAACTGGGGAAACAGCAGAGTCCTAGACACTGAGCGAAGTCTCCTTATTCTCCCCTGGGGGTGTTTCTAGTCTCCTTAAAGAGTTCATTACTCTCCTTCAGTGATGACTTCCTTCTCTCGGGGGCCTGCTCCATGAGATGTCTTCCCTCTCCCGCAACAATATTCTCAACATCCCCTCCCTTCCCCAGGGAAGTCTTTCCTCCAGGGTTGTCTTCACTCTCCTCTCCCCAGAGGTGTTCTCACTTCCTTTGGGGAGTGCTTCACTCTTCTGACCCCCAGGGGTGTCCTTACTCCCCTCCCCATCCCATGGTCTGGCTGCAGGTGGAGCTGTCAGATGGCACAGCGCACACCATCACAGATGCCTATGCCGGGAAGGAGTACATCATCCAGGTGGCAGCCAAGGACAATGAGATTGGGACGTGGAGCGATTGGAGTGTGGCTGCCCATGCCACGCCCTGGACTGAGGAACCACGGCACCTCACCACCGAAGCCCAGGCCCCCGGTGAGCCTGCCCTTCTCCCCTGCACCCTGTGCTCTCAGTTGGACTGCTTGTTGCCTCGTTCTATCCCACTCCCTCCAACTCTTCCCAGGACTGGGAGCCTCTGCTCCAGGGGTCTCCACACTCTGTGGCAGCCATGCTCCCATCTGTCTGCCCAACCCCTGCCATTCCTGGTCCTTGCTATCTGGATATCCTTGGTAGGGGTCACTGGGTGGAGGGGTCATCTATGAGCCTTGGGAAACAAGGCTCCCTGATGGGGGAGGTATGGCACCTTTGAGAGAGGAAGCAGGGGTTGACTGATGGGGGAGGCAGTACCAGTCTGATGCAGGAACAGTGTGCTTCATGAACCCCACATCTGGGCAGGTCCCCAGCCTGACCTTGCCCTGAGTTTCCCCCATGCTCCCCAGAGACCACGACCAGCACCGCCAGCTCATTGGCACCCCCGCCCACCACGAAGATCTGTGACCCTGGGGAGCTGGGCAGCGGAGGAGGACCCTCAGCACCCTTCTTGATCAGTGTCCCTGTCACCCTGGCCCTGGCTGCCGCTGCCACCACTGCTAGCAGTCTCCTGATCTGGTAGGTTAAGTGAGGCTAGGTGGCAGAGGGGAGCCTCAGGGGACACCCGTCTCAGCCTTATCCCTCACAGCCCCTTGCCCTTTCTCCCCAGAGCCCGGCATACTGAGGACATGCCAGAGCACCTGCAGAGGAGCAGGAGGCTGGAGCTGAGCCTGCAGACCCCAGTTTCTATTTTGCACACGGGCAGGAGGACCTTTTGCATTCTCTTCAGACACAATTTGTAGAGACCCCGGCGGGCCCGGGCCTGCCGCCCCTTAGCCCCACCACATCAAGCCGGCCCTCAGGAGAGGAGGACCCTGCAGCTAACCCACCCACCAAAGACCCCCCCACACCCCCTCGGGCTGGACCCTCCAACGCCAGCGACTCCCAGGAGCCCTTGGGGGGCCTGAGGGGAGCCCCTCACATCCACAGTTTTTCCTCCTGCCCGAGCCTCCTGTCTGTCCCAGGGTCTCTGTTGCCACCATCAGATTATAAGCTCCTGACGCTGGGGGGACCCAGCCATCCCCCTCCCCCCAGTGCCCACACTTTTCAGTCCCCCCACCTCTGCCCCTGTTTTGTACAACTCTCCTGTGATCCTCCTCCTACCCCACAGTATTTAATGCCCTGTCAGTCCCTTCTAGTCTGACTCAATGGTAACTTGCTGTATTTGAATTTTTTATAGATGTATATACAGGGATGGGGGGGTGGGGGGTTCTCATTAAATGTCACCATTTCATGAGTCCTTGGAACAGACCCACTTTGAGAGGGTACCCCTCTTCCAAGGACCCCTCCCCTTCTAGGCCTGGAGGAGGAAAGAAATTATGGTTGGGGAAGATGGGGAGAGACAGTTCAGCTTTCAGGCAGAGACATCTGGTAACAACGTTTTCTCCTTCTTCAGGAGTAGGGCTTCCCTGGAGCACAGAGATGTGGCCAGGGGCAAAGTTGTGAGAAATGACGGTCCCAGAGGGGGTTGGTCCCACATGAGGATATCCAGGCAGTCCTGGAGGCTGCTGAAGTCTTGGACGGGAGAGAGATGGAAGGAGGCGGGGCGGCCAGGTTTCATCCTTGGGGTGTGTGCATGTGACATCCCCGCAAGTCAGGAGACATAGTTTAGGAGTGTCAGTAGGTCAGGCCCATGGCTCAGATAGGCCACAAGAGCTCAGAGCGAAGAGGGGCCTGGGCCTGGGTAGGCAGCGAGGCTGCCTGAAGGATGAGGCTGTTTAGAGTATGATTAGGGACTGCAATTGTGGAGTACAAGGTTTACCTCCAGGGTTAGATTATAGTTAGAACTCAAAGTCAAGCTAGAGAGGCCTAGGGCTTTGGTTTTACAGCGTGACCAGTCGTTGGTCCAGCTCCATACCCTCTCCACACCCTTCCAGTCCCCAAATTTCGGCACCAGGGTACCTCTGACTTCTCACAGGAGGGGCTTCCTGTCTGCACCAGGCCTGCTGGTGTAGCCCTTCTCATAGAAGCCACCTTACTGAGGCTCCTTAGCTGGGAATGCCCAGGGCTGGGGCCAGATTGGCAGACCCTCTGACCAGGAGATGGGAGTGGGGGGTAGGCCAGAGCCCCAACCTGGGAAGCCAGGCTTGGCCTTGCCCTGGGAGCCTGGAGCGAGAAGAGGGGTGGAGTCAAAGCCCTGACCTGCTCAGATGTGTCCACCCTGACAAACACTCCCCATAGCAAGTACTGAGCACCAACCTCTGTTAATGCACTAATCGCCAGGCTTGGCCTTGCCCTGGGAGCCTGGAGCGAGAAGAGGGGTGGAGTCAAAGCCCTGACTTACTCAGATGTGTCCACCCTGACAAACACTCCCCATAGCAAGTACTGAGCACTAATGCACTAATCCCCCAATGTCACCACACACACACCCCCAATTCAAACCCTTCTCAGACCAGGCTCAGAAAATGGCTGCTCCTCACTGGTCTCGCCAGGCCCACCTGAGATCATGCCCTGGGAGGGGGATTCACAGAGCCTCAAGTACGGGTGAGTCAGGCCTGGACAGGACACAGACCCTGAGTAGGGGCCTGGTGTGGGGCTCCAGAGTGAAAAGGGCTGGCTCTCCTCCAGGCCACAGGAGAGAGGGGTATTCTAGGTGGGGGATCCGTGGAAATCAAAGGCCTGGTGTTGGTGGGGAGAGACCTGTGGCTTTTCAGGCTGAAGAGCCCCGGCTGGGAGCGTATGGTTCCTCATTCACGGGAAGAGGGTCCCGAGATAGACATCCTGAGAAGTGGCTGTGGACCTGTCTCTACCCTGAAGCCCCATTCTGCCTATCTGGTCTCTGTGAGGTGTGGCTCGGGCCTGAACCTGCATTCAGGTCCAGCAGGGGTCAAGATAGCAGGGGGTTGCCAACTCTCTTGCCAAGGACATTGTATTCCTTGGGTGTGTCAGAACCTCCACCTTTCTCCATCCTTGTGGTGCATGGGCTGAAGTTGAGGGTCTGGTTGGTGCTGCCTTCCTGCCTTGAGAGCCTTGGTCAGCCCTGAGCCACCCACCACCCACCTAGGGCTTGGGCATCAGTAATCTGGCCTCCATTAGCAACATGGGAAAGCAATTATGTGGGGCCTGGGAAAGGGGACAGAAGAGGGGAAGGGGCCTGCTGGAGCCTTGGAGGCCGATGGAGGGGAGGGCTGGGGCATCTCCCTGTCCCCAACCTCAAGAGAGACCCAGCCCTGTCCCAAGCCCAAGGTGGGTGGAGGAGCAGTGTCATTGTCTCTGACTGGGCTGGACCCCGGTGTGGTCATCTCTCCGTGCAGGTCCTGGCCCCTTGACCTCGCAGAGGCAGTTCACCTGGGAGGGTCTTGGTTGCTGTCTGCCACTGCCTCCCTCGAGTACTGCCCCTCCACACTCATTTCCCATGGTGGCCCTGGGGAGTCGGGGATAAGTACAGATATCAGTCTTGGAGCTAAAACAGAACCTGGAGAATTAAAACACTACTGGGGAGTGGGGGAGGGGGAGGTTTGGGTCCCAGCCTTCCAGCCCCCGTTCTCTTTGCTCCCCCTAGTGCACTGGGGATGGGGACCCTCCTCTGTGTCCTGGCCTATTAGCCCCTGCCCACTTAATCTCTCCTCCCAGCGAGGCTCAGCCCCATTCTTACACGTCTAGACTTTGCACCCCCACCCCACCCCTCTCTTCTTGCTGAACCCATTCCCATCTCTGTATTTGTCTCTTTCTGTCCCATTCCTCTCTCTGAATATGTCTTTTTCCTGGTCCCTATCTTTGTATTTTTTTCTGTATGTCTCTATCCCATCTCTTTCTCTCTGTGTGTCTCCATCTTTTGTCGTCTCCCATCTCGTCTCCCCTCTTTGTCTCTCTATCCATCTCTCTCTCTCTGTCTCCATCCCTGACCACATCTCTGTCCCTCTTCCCTGTCTCTATCTTCCCTTCTGCCTTCCTCCCTATCTCTCTGTCTCTGGGTGTCTCTATTCCCAGCTCTGTGTCTCTGTCTCTTGGCATGTATCTCCATCTCTGTCTCCTCTTCCCCCACTCTGTCAGTCATTCTCTTTTTTGCCTCCCTCTGTGTGTTCCCACCCAGGTCCAGACCCCAGCCTGTGGCCGCTGCTTCTCTCCAGCCTGAGCTGGGGGGCTGCCCTGGCTTCTGCTGCCCCCTCTCGGCCACCTGCCTGCCCTTCATTCCTGCTCCCGGCTGGTGGCTACCAACACATGCATCCCACGTCTGCCTTTCCCAGCAGCCAGCCAGAAGAGAGGGAGATATTAAGCAGGAATCCCTCCTGGGCAGCCCCGGCCCTGAGAACTCCCCAGAGCCGGTGGGCACACTACCTCTGTAGGATGGGACTCTGAGAAAGTTAATTCTCACATGGAGAGAACAGAATGCTTGGTTCCAAACCCCAGCTCTGCATCCTGCATTTGATCTGTGTCTTTATGTCCTGAGGCCCATTTGTCCACTATGTCCAGGGCCACCGACTGGACCCTCAGGAGGTGTTACCTATCTGGGGATGCAGGACTAGAGTCCTGGGGGTAGGAAGGATTGGAGTGTAATCCCCCCACCCTTGCCTCCTCTGAGAAGAATCACATGGAGCCAGTCTGAGGAGAGAGGCTAGAGGTGACCTTACCTGACAGCACCACTCTGATGGGGAAGGCTAATCTGAAGGTGAGTGGGTCTGAGAGGGACTGTGTGACAGGATTAGTCTGAGGGGGGCTGGTCTGGGACATGTTTCTGAAACGATTTTGTTGGAAACGGTCTGGTCTGATGGGTTTAGGCTGAGGGGAGACTAATCTGAAGATACACTGGTCTGAAGAAAAAGGCCACCAACTTGTCCTAGCTTGCCTGGCCTTTCTCAGTTTTAGCACTGAATATCTCCAGTCTTGGAAAACCACTCAGTTCCAGGCAAACTGGGGCAGCTGGTCACCTTATTTGAGAAGGCCTTGCCTGACAGCACCAGTCTGAGTGGGGAGGCTGGCCTGACAGGTCCAGTTTGAGGGGAGAAACTATTCTAGGCCAGATGCTTCTTTGGGCAGGAACCAGGCCAAGAAGGGGAATGGTTAGGGTCCTCCCAGAAGGGCAATAGCTTGGGGAGTGGCCACCAGGGGGCAGGGCAGGTTCTTAGGAGATTCAGAAGCAAAGGCCCCAGAGAGGGAGTTAGCCAGTGTGGGGCTGTGTGCAAAGTATGCCCACAACAGCATATGTCACTCTGCCATCACAGGCAAGTTGTGGTGGTGTGCAACTGTGCACCATGTCTATGTTTTTGTGTGGCTAGGTGGCCAGGAAGGCCCCAGAGAGGGAGTTAGCCAGTGTGGGGCTGTGTGCAAAGTATGCCCACAACAGCATGTGTCACTCTGCCATCACAGGCAAGTTGTGGTGGTGTGCAACTGTGCACCGTCTATGTTTTTGTGTGGCTAGGTGGCCAGCGGCGTATCGGTGGTATGTTAGTGTGGTTGCATTGGAGAGTGTGCCTGGTGTGGCCATAGCTGGGGCCTGATCTATGGCTGTAGAGAAGACAGCAGGAACATCTTGGGGCTTAGCAGGACAGGGAGGCAGTGAGAGTGGAGCAGTCAGAGAAGGTTCCTTGGGAGGGGCTGAGGATGAGGAGGAGAGACAACGAACCAGACTTTCCTACTTGTACCTGCTCCTGCCTTAGGATTCCAGACACAAGAGCTAAGTGCTTTGGTCCCATACAAGGACGGCCCCCATGCCAGCCTGCATGCCTAGGCCATGCCTGCCCACCTCTCCAGCTTCTCTCCTGCTTCTTTAGCTGGCACTCTTTCAGCTGGACTCCCCTTTGCTCCCCAGTAATTGGAAGAGTAATTGGAGAGTATCCTCTCCTTCCATGCCTTGGTTCAGGCTGTGCTTCTGCCCAGGATGCCTTCCTGTGAAGCATGTGAGGTCCCTCTGATGCTGCCTCCTTGAGATGCTCCCTGTACATTCCCTCTCTACCACGGACCAAACACCCACTATGTGCTGAGGCCTACTTCTGTGAGCCTTTTGTCTCATTCCAGGGATCTGGAAATGCTGGGGCCTGGGACTGCCAGAGTCTTGCCCACAGGAAGGGGTCTGAGGGGCAAGGTATGGATAAGGCAAGGGTGAGGATTTCTGGGTTAGGATGACAAAGTGAAGCTGTCACAGAATCCCCCCAGTCCAGCCCTCCCCCCACTAAAAACATGAACAAAAGCCAAAACAAACCCAAAACAAAACACTGCTACAAACTCACCAAGTCCAACAAGGAAATCCTTTTTATAAACTTTAAAATGTGATAGCTGAAGAAACCAACAGAAGATTCTG